TTTTAGGAGTAACTTTTCTCTCTTCTAAATTCACTAGATTCTCATTACTGCGCAAAAGGTCATCTCCGAAACCCGAGCTTCGAATACCCAAATTTTTTCCAGAAAAAAAACCTAATTTATTCTCTATTGCAATATAATTTTTTTTAGAAAATTGAAAAAGAAATATCAGTCATTTCAGTGAATTAGGGTTATAATTCGATCCTAGAGCTCTTACTACTGAAGAATTTATGAGTTTTCCATCATCTGAAAGAGTACAAAATGGAAATTACCAGTGAGAGAAGAAGAACCCGATCTCAAGCGGCTGCTATTCTAGTGGAGCTAAAATCCATCAATGTTCAGTCCAAAAAAGGACCCAAAGTATATGAAAAAGATGGTGTGAAAAATTCTGGAAAAAGGAAGCGTCGAAAGGGTAGTAATGTCAGGAGAAAAAAGAAGGGAAAACATGTACAAGTTGACTCTGATGATGATGAAGACTATGTGTTTGATAAAAGTCCCAAAAGGAGAAAGCTGGATTATGGACGCAAGGGGAAGAGTTCCAGCTCGGATTTGAAGGTACTTTCCGTTTTTCTTTCGTTTTTTAATTACTCTTCCCGCTCCATTGTTATGGGATGTTGTTTGAATGGACATGGAGTCAGAGGCATTTGTACAAACTATAAGTTAATTATGTCGTTAAAGGTAGAATGAGAAATTTAAAGTTGAATTATTTCTAAATATAAACAGTCATTCTTTGTGGGATATACTAAAAAGGAAAGAGTGTTTGGGACGGAGGCATTAATATATAATGTATATTATGTGTATACAGCTCTATGTTTGTGCATATACATAGTATATGATGTATATGTGTAGTATACTGTGTATATATATTGTACTAGCATTTGATGTGTGTATATATATGTATGTTATGTGTATTACGGTGTATATGATGTGTGTGTGTGTTTGCGTGTATAGTAGATGATGTACAAACAAACGGAATACAAACGGTATATATGTACTTTTTTATTGTACAGTATATTTGACAACTTTCTTGTGTGTTAACAGTATAGTTGTATCATTGTTATGTAGATTTGGGATTTTTATGTTCAACCGAGAAAGCATTTCACAGCAAGAATTGGGGCACACACTAATGTTGATGTTGTTAAATTGTTGAATGCGAAGTTGGATGATAGGCAGATTCAGATGTTCAGACAAACATGCTTCGGGCATTTTCTTGATTTGCCCGAGGTATTGGTTCAGCCTCAATTGGTACACTCGCTATTGCTGAGGGAGGTGGTTCACGAGAGAGAGGATGAGTTGTGCATTTCAGTGAATGATGTCAGGCTGCGTTTTGGGCTTGTTGAGTTTGGGATTATCACCGGGTTAAAGTGTACGGGTGATGCTGATATGTGCCTTGATTTCGACGGAACGAATCGGTTGTTCGATACGTACTTTTCTGAACTTACCAGTGTACCTAAGCAATCCTTAATTGACTGCTTCCTTAATAAGAGATGGAAATCCGATGAGGATGCAGTCAACATTGCTGTCCTATATTTCATACACACATTCTTGTTCTCCAATCTGAATCGTAAATATATCACGAGGGCTGACTTTGGGCTCGTTGAGAGCGGTGCATATCAAACGTACCCTTGGGGAAAAGTTGTCTTTAAAGCCACACTGGAGTCTATTAAGGGTAGGTTGCTTGGGAAGCCCTCGATGTACAGGCTTCGTGGATTACCATTGGCATTCCAATGTTGGTTTTACGAGTGCTGCCCTTATGTTAATAAGAAGATTGCTTTCCGGGTTGATGACAAAGTGCCCCGCATACTTAGTTGGAAAGTTACGAAGCAGCCAAACCTCAAGGAGTTGTCGAATGGGATCTTCATGCAGAGGCGGGATCAGGTAACTGGGAAGCACTGTCTTTTTTTATAGTGTGTTAACATATACACTTGATATTCCATTAACATACACACTAATGTAGGATATATTTTGCACTTTAAAAGTGTATATTAATGGTATTATTCTAGTATATTATATTGTAATATGTTGCTATACATGTAAAACCATTACTATACCATCTTAGAATGGTATATCTGTGGTGTATTTATAGTTTATTAGACATTATTAATTATGAATCGACGTACGTTTATTCTCTTCTCATGCTAATGTTTTTTATGTAGTTGATTCTGAGGAATATTTCTCCAACAGCATTTGAGCAAACAACACTGAATTTGCCTGAATCATTTGAAAACGAAAGGGATAATGAGGTGGCATCTGTTGATGGTGCTGAAGTTCATCTTAGTGATGACGACTTTAGCGGTCCGCCGCCTCAAACAAGTAGGAAGCAGCCTAAAACTAAACCTGATCATCCCTTGAACAATGATGACTGGAGCACCGAGTTAAAAAGACTGAGAGATGGACAGTTGGAGTTGAAGAGTGAGATTCAGATGGTACGGCCACTTGAGCTATTTTAGTTCAACATTTGAATTTTTATACACAACAGTTTTTTAACTTTGTTTTTTTCCCTTTCACTAGCTCAACAAGGAGGTTGCATCACTCAAGGACTGCATGATAGCATCCTTTGCAGATGCTTTTAAAGCCATCAAGTCTCTGTCGAAGAAACAAAGAGAAAAGACTGCTTCCGAGGTAATGCACAATGTAGGGGTTCCTTTGAATTTTTTTTTGGTAAATAATTTTTTATTAATTACCAAGTAATCTTTGTACAGCTCAAACAAAACAAAAAAACCAGCACTAAAGCTGGGCATCATATCTAGCACTACTGTACCCCGTAAACAACAACAACATCATAAAGCATTTACTAGGCTAACTAAGGGTAAAAATTTAAGCTTTCCAGTTTTTTAGCCAATCGAGCCCACAAAGAACCTCTGCAGAATATCTCTGGAACAATTTGTCTGATAACTTGCTCCTCTTGCCTTCGCTTATTCTGAAATATCCTCATGTTTCGCTCTTGCCATATATGATATACACATCCAGCTATAGCCATTCTGAATACCTCTGCTCTAGCGCTCCTACCCCTCTCATTTACTTCCATCCATGCCATTTCATGCTGCCAGCTCATAGCCTTTCTTGTCAAACCTTGCCATTGTAATAATCTGTTCCATATTCCACTTGAGTACACACAGCTGAAAAATAAATGGTCAATAGTCTCATTAGCAACATTACACAGAGGACATACCAGTGTATCAGTCACACCCCAGCTAGCCAGCCTGTCCCTTGTGCTTAGCCTCCTATGAGCTGCCAGGTTAAGTATAAAAATCCATCTTGGTGCACCATAGTTATTACAAATCAACTTTCTCCATGGAACTTTTTGATGGACTCCCCTCATCTTCTGGTATATAGCTTTGATAGAGAAAGACCTCATCCTTTGTAGCTCACTTGTGTGTGCTATTTCAGTATATACCTGAAAATAATGATGTATTTTCATTTCTCATTTTGAACAGCTTGATGGAGAAAATGGCCACCATGACAGACACGGCGAAAGCGATTCTAGTGACTTTAGTAATAGTGAAGACAATGGTTGTGAAGGTCAAGAGCATGGCAAGGACTCTATGGGCGACAAGGACAATAGCGAGAAAGGGAATGAAGTAGCTTTGGGCGATGGTGAGGGTCGGGAGACAGTTAGAGAGCCTGTGGAGGAGGGTGAAAGGATGGACGTATCTGCGTCTCAGATTCTTCCAGATACATTTGAGGTGTCAGATCACATTACACCGGAACAAAGTCATCCGACACCAGTTCTTGAGTCACCATATGTGAACCAAGGCGACACTGGTGTTGAAGGTTCTTCCGAGAAGTCCATTTTAAAAGGAGAGAACCCTTTAGAGAGCAAAATTGTTGATAATGTTGATTATAGTTTGTTGTCTGAGTTTGATAAGTGGGTTGACGAAGGGATGAAGAAAGAAAGCAAGTAAGATGACTGTTTCAGTGCTTGCTACCTATGAAGCATCGAGAGAGAGGAATGAGACCGGTTCAGTTTAGCAGTTTTACATTGAGCAAATAGCATTTCGTGTTGAGCTCAAACAACATCTTCCCAAATTCTGCGTTTTCCTTTTCTTCTTCTTCTTCTTCTTCTTCTGTGTTCTTATTTATGAATCTTTTATCGCTATTGATGCTGTTAAGAACCTTCTTTGCTTTATCGTAGGAAGAAAAGGTCGGAGAACTGTATTATGTTAATGAACCCGCGTTCTTGATTTTGGCATAATAGCAGAGCTAACATTTCCCTTCCCGACAAAGATTCTGCCAAATTTAAGGTTTAGAAACAAGAGACTAAATTCATTTGTGAATAAAGTACAGTTTAGATTGTAGTTTTTATTTTCTCTGCATACTTTAAGCCTTGTAATGTTGCTTCTTATACATTGCAATTGAGAAATCTTTATTTTCTTTTATATTTTCCCCTCATATGTACCTTCATATTTCAACAAAAATGATAACAAAAAAAAAAAACCAAAGATGGAAGGATTGGATATCTGCATTTTCTAGTTTCTAAAGGTGAACGGATGCTTCTGAACTTCGATTACTTTATTCTATTATCATATTTCAGAACTTAAAACAATCTTTAACGTACTGAAGAATTGAGAGAGAAATGATGGCTATGTGTGAGACAAGGATCACTGGAAACTTTTTAGATTTAATTATTACAACTCTGTAAATTACTGATAATCCATTAGTTCTTTCTCTTTTCCTGACCACAGTGGTGTTCGGACCAGCTTGCAGCACCTCAACTAAAATCTACCGGGTACCTGCTACCTCCCGCCAGCTTAGGTATCGAGCAACTTTGATGTTACCTCCATTAGTTAAGAGAGCTAATTTGAATGTCAATAACCCAAATCCAAATTTAATGTAAATTCACCTGTAGAAATTCTAAACACCAATTGCACTGAAAGCATCTGCTGAACAAACACCATAGATACCAGATAGGGAAAAACTTACCAGCACCTGAAATTCATACCAAGTGAATACATACATGACATGAAATTCATATTCTCACTTTATTTTTCCACTAATCATGGTAAACTAATGCATTTTTGGTAAATACGAGATGAGAGATTCACGTCGAGGTACTGCAGAAAAAAAAACAGCAAAATCCGATCCAGTTTATCGTAATCTAAGTTTTTTCCAGATAGATACATTGGAAAAGAGTGTGTAAAAGGGAAAATGGAAGGAACCAGTTAATAAAGTATGCTCATACAAAAAGGATTTCCAGAGAAATACTGGTGGTCTCACCGTCTAAGGCTCTAAGCATTCTACTTTGAATGCATGAAAATAAACAAATATCCATAATAGGTTCGAGCCCTGCGCCAAGCAAACTAACTCTGGTATTTATGCGGAGAAGTATAGAGGGGCGACTCCATTATCCCCAAGTTTTGAAGGCTGTGATTGACCCAAAGGGTCGGCTCCAGACAGATTTCTCGATCATAGATCCTCCCACTAGCAGCTCAATCAGTCTCTAACCTTGCAATATAATTGTCGTAGTATTTTGCAGCTTGTTCCAAATCCCCAAGCTCAGTATAACAATCAGCTATTGCTCCATAAGCTTCTGTGTTCCCCGACTCCTCTCCATGTCTTGCCGATATTTCAAGAACCATAGAGTGGTATTTTATAGCTTCCCGGTACTTCCCCTGCCGTTGTAAAGATGCCCCTGGAAAATCCAACATAAAACTGTGACGCTCGTACATAGAGGTGGCAAAATAGTTAAGAAAACAGTTATCCACCCATATTATCCATCAAAAAATGGATTGGATAATGAACCATTTAAAAACGGGTCGAATATGGATAAAGAACCATATTATCCACTTAGAAAATGGTTAACCAAATGGATAACCAATGAATAACTAATGTGTTTAACTTTTACATTTGTAAAGCCTCAAATTGGAGTTCTTCAAGTTTGGAAGACTAGGAATTCTTTCATAAGTGATCATATTTAAGAAGCCATGGATAATATGGATATTCATATTATCCGCCGGATAAACCCGTTTTTTATCCGTCTCAAATACGGGTCGAGTTGGATAATTTATCCGTTTTTTAAATTATCCGTTTTGACCAGCTCATATTCGACCCGACCGGCCCATTTGACACCCCTACTCGTACATCATGATAAAAGAGAGAATGAGCATCATTGCGTATATGGTCATGTTTGTATGTGTAAATAAATTCTCCCTCTCTCTCTACCATAAGGAACAAGAATTACTGGAGTCTTAAATCCAACTTATTAGAAGTGAGATTCAGAGTTGTCAAAAGTGATAAGCGCAGAAAGCACCAAAGAAATAACTATAATTAAGCGGAATGAATGAAGTAAAAATGACATTAACAACAATAACTACTACGTGTCAGTCACAAACAAATAAAAATGACATCAATCAAGTTTAAAACCATTTAAAATTTCTCATTAAGATGAAAAGCTTTAGTTTTATGTTTTTTAAAAGCAAGTTTTCGTATCCTAAAATTTTTAATTTCCTTAACCACCAAAAGCTCATTTGTATCATAGTAAGAGCGCAACTTGGGATGTGTGGGTTAGGCGCACGTCACGCGTTCGAACCCTAGCGCATACAGAAGCCTGATATTTAAGTGGCGAAGGGTGAAGGGGTGGTCCCATTGTCTTCCGAGTTTCGAAATGTGTGCCACGGGCCCTTGGGGATTTCTCCTTTATAAAAAAAGTTGATTTGTGATGTTATTTTGACAATAATGTATCAGCTTACCGCTATAATTATTGTCTATCACTGTCTTTTTAAAAGACGGAGCCCATGGGTAAATAGGCGCACGCCATAGCACCCTAGCGCCTATACCAAGGTGTCACTCAAGCGACGTGAAGCGCACAACCTGGCTTATAATACCTTAGTGCCTAGACCAAACCAAAAGTATCACTTAAGTGAGGCAACACACACAACCTGGGTTTAAGTGCAATAAAGAAATTGAAGGTTTAGACAGAACAAGAAGATGGACGTACCTAAGCCCCGAGCTGCTTTCTTTTCCTTCAAAGGTTCTTTTAAATTCTGTGCAAGGTCAAGAGCAGCTTTAAACTCCAATTGCGCCTTTTCTGGTGCTTGGTTTCTAAGAAATTTCTTCCCATTTTTCAAGCGAGATATTAATTCCTGTTTTCTTGGATCGACAATTACTTCACTTTCTGCAACCCTGCCACCAACAGGAGCATAACTTAAGTTAGGTGCATAGGACTCAATTTTGGCTTGCCTTCTTAGAGCAGCATTGATTTGGCGGAGCTGTTCATTCAACCGCTGCAATTCCCTTTTTCGTTGACGTGCAAGTAGTCCTGCAAAATACAAATGTAGAAAACGTGTGGAATACGCAGACAACTAAAAAAATCCAAAACCAGGGAATCACAAAATAGGAACAAGGAAAACCATGCTCCGGCTAAGGCAGGATGTAAACATATACTTAATGTGTAAAACTGTCATTATCCGAATCACGGAGAAAAACCATAGGAAAAAACAGTACTCCCTTTGTCCCAATTTATGTGTCATACTTCCCTTTGTCCACGAGTGCAACTATCAAGGAGTAGATTCATTAGATAATACTTTTACCAATAAATGGAACATTTCCTAAAACATTTCTAACTAACCACTACTCTTGGACCACTTCGAAATCACTTCATTAATATATACTACCAGTTCAGATAGGCAGTGTTTGATGGAAGAGAAATATTTTTCGTTTTCCTTTTCAATGAAAAAATCCAATTTCCAGTTTCTTTTTTCAGTTTTGTTTATGAGGCTTTGTTTCTAGATGCCGAAGGAAATGTCAACTCGTCTCCAGTACATCATTCCCCCTATAGGGAGCAACAAAATAAGCTCAATTTTCTCTAGTAAAACCCACTGTTATGTCCTTCAATTTGCAGTTCAGCATATACTACCATTGAATGTTGTAATATCACTCATCTAAAAGCCTTTATCGGTTATAATATGAAAGAATACAACACCGTAATTGAGAAGGAATAGATAAGTGAACTGTTAATGTACAGGTTACAAGGTGATGTAGAGATGATGTAGATGATGTTGGGAATCTGAGAATGTGACATTTATGAGTGGAGATAGAGAGATCAGCAAAATTAGATAAAGGATACACAAAGGAGATCTCATTCGAGTCCTCCAGTAGCTGTCATTTTTTGCACATAGATAAATATGATGTTACCGTTCGCAGAATAGGCTGAAGATCATGATAATTGGCAACTGCAACAGACAACCTTTCAAAATCTTATACTTCATGTCAAAATTAAACAGCGGTTATAGCACCTATGCAATTGTCTGTTCTGTTAAGTGTTAGATACTCAAAGTTTCATCCCGTAGGCGCATTCCTCTTTTATTTTTAATATTTGTACATAATAAATGAACTTTTTAATACAAATATACTGTTTGAGAAAAAGGTATTGGGTTTGGCCGAACCATAACCAGGCTTCTAGCTCCACCCCTAGGCTCATGGGCACTACACATTTTTAATCACCTTACCTCCAACAGTGGCCCCAATAAGCGCAACAAGCAGCAGTAACGGCATATTCATATTGAAGAGAGAATTTTCAGCTTCACATGTTTCTGCCAACGCTTCTAAGGGTGAAATCATCATCAAAGCATTAGCCACAATTACTGTTGCTGCTGGCTGCCTAAACTGCAAGATTTCCTGCCAGTTGAAGTTCAACAGGAAGAGAAGCCAGAAAGTGCGATCAACAAGTAGTTTTTTTTCTTTCATATTTATCGGATTGAGAATCAACAGACTGAATAAAGCTGGAGCATACGTTTACATTTTCCAAAACACGAGACTATTTTACGGGTTTTTTCTTATGAAACACTTCAAGAAACTAAACTTATTGAGTCTTTATATTCTCAAATATAGTATAAGTACATTGGTGCAGAGCAAGCAACAGAAAGTTTCACTTGTTACAGCTGATGCAATGATGAGTGTCATACTAATGTTTGGACGGAATCTTATTAAACAGTCTGATACAAAATCTGCTAAAGACCAATGCAACTCTTACAGCAGATACTATTCAACAAGTAAATCATTAGAATCATTATGTAGACATTAACATAGAGAAATTACTGTGACAACAACAACAAAAAATTTATGTACACTGATAGTCTAAACAAAGAATTTCAACACTCTCAGCCTAATTTAACCTTTTGCAGCAGATATCATGCTTTATTTTCTAGATTGCTAATTTCACTTATTATGGACAGTACAAATAGTTATCTTTATGGTGATCCGATGGTGAAAAAAATTCTACTACCCCATCAATTTTTACACTATCAGTCTAATTTAGCCTGTTGCAGCAGGTTGTCTGCTTTATTTTCGAACTAATTCCACTTATTACGGACAGTTACATGTTAGTTATCTTTATTGAAATATGATATTATAAAAATTCTGTTATACTGTCAGTATATATAAGTTAAAATGTTACTAATATAATAAGTTAAGTTAACAGCTTGTTTGGATGGTTGTTACGTATCGTTTCATAATGTATCGTATCGTATTGTGTTGTATCGTTTGATGAATACAATGTTTGGATGGATTGTGTCGTTTTGGCGTCGTTTCACGGTATCACGCACCTGTGATACGATGAACAAACTTGCAATATTATAAAGAAAAATTATGACACGGTATATAAAAAGGTAGGGTAAATGATAAAATATTAACAATAATGAAGGGTGAGATTGAGAGAAAAACACAAGGAAACGACGCGACCACACCATATCGGTCGTTACATAAAGTGGCACATTTCATCGTTACATAACAACGGATTTAACGATACGATACAATAAAATTTAAGTAACAATCAAAACAAACATTGTATTTAAAGTAACAATACGATACGATACGATAGGTAACAACCATCCAAACAAGCTGTTAACGTCCTAAACTCTGTATTCAGTCAAACACCGTTATATATAAAATAGGAAAGAAATGGCAGCTGCTCTTATTAACAAAAATGGCCATGATCACGACAAAAATAGAGAAAAAACAGCAATTTTGCAGCAGACCCAAGAAGTAAAAACTAGAAATAAACAAAACCCAGAAGCCAAAAACCTTCAGTTATGTCACCTTGAAATCAATGCAGATGCATTTAGGAGTTTTCTTGGGGTTTTTCTGTATAAGTTTCTTTAACAGAGCTTCTTCTCTCCATTTGAGAGGGGGATTTTTGGGTGAGATAAAGAAGGAATGTGAGATAAAGAAGCTTTCTTGCTTCATCATCATTGCCATTTTCTTCATTACAATATGCTTCTGTTTGGATGATTTTTGTCTCGAAAAAATCAAGATAACATTGTACTAGTATGTTTTGCCTTATTCTTTTACTTTTACCGAGAATAAGGATGCACACAATACTATGTTTAACAGCCACTAATAAAATGACTTACCAACAAGGTAGTGGTGCAAAATAAGTAGTCCCTCCGGTCCAAAATAAGTGATTTTTTGGATGTTTTTATACAGATTAATAAATTCATCTTTTAGCATTAATTAGCAATGGAATTGACCATATTAACCTTTACTATCTCACATAAACACTCCTAACACATATTCCAACACTATTTACTCCAAGGACAATGTAGGAAAAAAATAATTAATTCATTCTTGAAATCTGGAAAAATCACTTATTTTGGACCACAAGAAAAAGCCAAAAAATCACTTATTTTGGACCAGAGGGAGTATATTGTTATTTGTTAATCAGGTGTTTCGGGTTTGATCTTTAGGTATAAAGTCATCATTTTTGTTATGGAATATTTAGATATGCATAATTCGAATTTTGTCGGCTTTTAATGCGAGTATTGGACACCGGGTGAAAAATAAAAAACTGTCTTGAAACTTTGCAATTTGATAAATGAATTTTTTTAATAATGGTAGGTTAGCTTTCGTGTACCTTGATCAATTTCTATAACACTGGTCATCAAAGTTGTGGACAAATAGGAAGAAATCAACCGCTAGTATTTCTGTCACCGCTGTAATTTGAACTTGAGACTATTATCCCGTACTTCAGTAATATGAGTTTAACTTGTATATACTATTTTTTTTAATCATATTTTACCTAAAAGAAAAATAAAAATAATTATTCACAAATTGAGATTAATAACAAAAAAATAAGATAATTTATTTGCTACAACAAAAATTCTCCAATCTATCTTTAGGTCCAAGTTCGAGTGATTTGGAGGGTAGTTTATTTGCTACGACAGAAATTCTCCAATCTGTCTTCAGGTCCAAGTTAGAGTGACTTGGAGGGTAGTGAAAACTCCTCTTGGTTGAGTATGTTATGCCGAGGAAGAAGCAAACCCGAAAATAAAGAAGACAAAGAACATCAAATTCTAACATGAAAAATCCTTCAAATCGAAGATAAAAACTACGGGATCACAAAGACCCAAAATCCTCTACTATAACAATAAGTGGATTACAAAAGTTCTCCAAATTGGTTACACAACAAGTGCCAAACACGAAGCAATAATAGCAACAAGAAATGAATTAAAGAAAGAGAAGTCACAAAAACGAAGTTGTTGTTCGGGCCTCGAAATAGGATACTACGGACCTCTAAATTCAATCTTCGCCATTCAAATCAAAGACCAAGATGTTACGAACACTCAGTCAATTTTTAGCTCGATCTAACGGTTAACGAATCGGAAAACGTGATATGAAGTTGATTGGTCGGAACAAAATCTACTGCAAAACAAATACTTTTTTTCTCTCTTCTCTCTTGATGAAAGCTCTCTCAAAAACCACTCTTACGTGCTTAAGTCTTTCAAAGACTTGTACCAATGAGCATAGAATAATTCTCCAAGGTTGCTCTATTTATAAATGAGTAGTTCTTTCGCTTAAAGACAAAACCAACTCTAAATATGAATAAAAACCGAATTTCAAATAGGAACGGAAACCAAAAGAGAATTGGATTAGGCTATTGGGTCTTGGCTGGACAACATGGGCATGGGCCCAACAAACTCTCCCTTTAGCCAAGGCGCCAAGTATGTCTTCAAGTAGAGGATCTATTGACATGCTTTATGCCTGCCAATTTTCTGCAAAACGTATGCTTATCTACAACCACCGCTTTTGTCAGCATATTCAAAGGATTTTTATCAATGTGTATCTTTTCAACCTCAAATAATTTCTCTTCCACAACCATTCTTATCCAATGCTATTTTCTATTTATATGTTTGGTCTTAGAATGAAAAGTGAAGTTCTTGGTGATACATATAGCACTCTAATTATCACAAAATAAGATGTAACTTGGCTGCTCAAAGCCACGATCATTAATAAACTCCTTCGTCCATAACAGTTCTTTGGTACCTTCTGTGACAGCAATATATTTGGCTTCCGTGGTGGATCGAGTTATGCACTTCTGTAGTCTAGATTGCCGAGAAATAGCAAAGTGATCAAATAACCAGAAGTGGGTCTTAAATTATCAAGATTGCCTTATAAATCAGAGTATGTTTAATAAACAAGTTCACGTTTGCGATTGCCAAAGCACAACTTCAAATCTGCAGTACCTTTCAGATGCTTTAATATCCATTTTATTGCTTCCCAATATTCATTTCCAGGATTAGAAAGGAATCTACTAACAGTACCAACAACATATGCAATATCTTGTGTAGTGCAAACCATAGCACACATCAAACTACCAACAACAGAAGAGTAAGGAATATGTGGCATCTCATTTTTCTCTTTATCGGTAGATAGGCCCTGACTAATACTCAACTTAAAGTGTTTATCAAGATGAGTACTAACCGCTTTTGTATCTATCACATTGAACCTCTGAGTACCTTCTCATTATATTGTTCTTGGGACAAAAATAACTCTTTTCTGTCTCTGTGTTGGTGGATTTGAATGCCCAAGATTTTCTTTGATAGCCCCAAGTCCTTCATCGCAAATAATTTATTGCTTCTTAAGACTTGCCAACAATAAGCATATCATTCACATAAAGCAATAAGATAATAAAATCATCATCAGAGAACTTCAGGAAGAATACACAGTGGTATGAAGAAATTTTCTTGTACCCTTATTTTTCTATGACAGATTCAAACTTCAAATACCATTGTCTTGGAGCTTGTTTCAATCCATAGAGGCTATTTTTTAATTTTCCGACATAGTTTTCTTTTCCCTTAGTTACAAAACCCTCAGGTTGATTCATATAAATCTCCTCATCTAAATCACCATGAAGAAATGCAGTCTTTACATCCATCTGCTCAACCTCTAATCTAGACTGGTGGCTAACCCTAGAACCGCACGAATAGTAGACATCTTCATAATAGGGGAGAAAATTTCATCAAAGTCAACTCCCTTCTTCTGGCAATAACCTTTAACAACTAACCTCGCCTTGTACCTAGGAGCAGAGGTATAGTTATCTTGCTTTACTCTGAATATCCATTTGTTTGATAAAACTCTTTTGCCTTTTGGTAATTTCACTAACTCATATGTGCCATTATCATGGAGTGACTTCATCTCATCTTCTATGGCTTATATCCACTGATCTTTGTGAGTATCTTGTATGGCTTCATTATAGCTCTCAGGTTCTCCCATGTCAGTCAAAGTACATACTCATAAGGAGGATAACACCTGAATTTTTGCTTCTCCCTTGTAGATCTTCTATGAGAGGTTTCAGGAGCATTTGAAGCAGTTACATGAGTAGGAATTGTTTGTTGATCAACCACAACTTCATCAATGGGAGCATCCATAATATCTGTACCATGATAATCTGATAGAATATAAGGGTCCACCAAACTCTATAGAGAACCAGGTTCTCTATCAGGTTCAACAGTACACACACACAAAACACTAAATAAATGACAAGAGGAATTTTACGTGGAAAATTCCCAGCTCAACGGGATAAAAAAACCACGACCTACCCTTGTAAGATTTCAACTTCACTACTGAGCAGCTTTTAGATTACAACCTATGCAACCTAGGAATTAACCTCTTAATCCCTCACTAACTTGTAACACACCTATTACAAGTCACTTTGTAATAACTCTATTATAATTAATAACTCTATTACAAAGACTTTACAACATGACTAACTCTAGCCAAGACTCAAACACACAGGTTTAAGGTTTACAAAGAGGTTCCTACAGAATACTTCTAAACAAGCTAAGTAGGAAATACAAGTGAAGAACTATTACAAAGTTACAACTCAACTAAGGACATAAAATGACTTGATATAGGAACTGGTCCGTAGTTGCTTTGTTCTTTGTTCTTGAAGCACTTGAAACTTTCTTGCTGGATAGTCACGTGAGTGAGCTTGAGTGAAATCTCTAAGTGTTCAAGAGAATGTGTTTTACCTCCCTTGATGTTAATAATACATTTATGACCTCACATACAATGATGTAAGCAAGGTAGGTAAAAAGCCTTCCACGAAAAGTTAACTGCTGCACTGTTCATGTACAGTAGCGTGTGCAGGCAGCAACTTTCCAGCTGGAGAGTTGACTTCGTACAGTCTCCTCGGGAACTGGTTGGGACCTGTTCCCTCAGCTGTTCCTTCCACTCTGAAGAGTTGAATCATATCCCACGCTGGATTCCAAACTGGAACTTTGTGATCTTAAGGTCTTGTAAATGTGTAACAGGTTCCTTATCTGGTTCTGGATAGTAAGTTTGTTAGATCATCAAAACATAAAGTAAAGTACATATGACCAAAGTACTTGTAACCTATCAATTTTCCCCTTTTTGATGATGACAAACTCATAATTGAAAATCCTAGAAAGAGCCACATAGAACCAGACTGCGAACTAGAAAGACCTTAAGTTTCCCCCTGAATCTCTACATTGGAAACTTGACACTGAGGAGACATTTTTTAGGGGACACTGGAGGAAGGGGGCTTGGAAGAGGAAGCAAGGGTTTGGAGGACAAGATCCATGCGAGCACTCGCGGACATTTGCTCATTGAGTAGTCTTTCTTTTAGGTCCTCCACCTATTTCCTGAGCTCAGCTTTATCCTTTGTTAGGCGTGCAACTTTTGTGCCATGAGAACTACTAGAACCAGGTGCCTCTTGTAACTGACTGAGCTGACTCTCAAGAATTGCATTCCTAGCCTTCAACTTTCGGATCTCCTCTGTGGAACTATTCTGAGCATTTATCAGTTGAGAGATAGTGGAAGTGCTTCCAACTCCTCCGACTTTGTCAATACACTCACGCTCCTTAAGAGTAGTTTTTGAAAAGGATTGATTTTTAGTGCCCACTTTGGCCTGTCCCAGAGGTACTTTGAAGAACTCAAAGACCTTTGTGAGAAGAAAACCATAAGGTATTCCAGGATTCCCATCCTTAAGATTTTCTACCTTCTGCATATGCTCAATCATTATGCCAGGCAAATTGATGGTAGTAAAATTATCCAAGGCTT